CTGCTGGACATCCAGCAGATGAGGGACAGCTCCAGGAAACCCGTGGTGATGAAAATCAAACCAGGTACTGGCAAAAACGTGGAATTTCTCCATGATTTTTCCTCCTAACTTTGATTCCTGAGCTGCAAAGTGGCTGGGTAAAGGATATTTCCATGTTGTGAGGGTGGAAGAGTTCAAGGTGTCGTTGGGATTAGTTTGTAGGGATATTTGTAGAGCTCAAATCTGAAATGGGGCAGGAGGGAGAGGTTTGTCCATGGGACAGGAACAGGAAAAGGTGGTATTGATATATAGTATGAATAGTATACTATATATATATAAATATATATATATTATGTATATAACATATATAATAGTATGCTATATATATAGTATATAGTATATATATTCTGTATACCATAGTATATATATAATAGTATAATATATATATTATATACTGTAGTATATATATAATATAACGTAACATAACAGCTTTTATTATTATCTTTTTAGCATTCTGTAAGTATCCTTTCTGTAGATAGTATATAGTATGAATAGTGTGCTATATATATAGGAATATTATGTTATTATATTATAATATTATATATATGAATATTATGTATTATACTATATACATATAATATATGAATATTATGATTAGTATGTTATATATACTGTATATATATCATATAATATATGAATATATTGTTCTTTAGTATAATCTAGTATAGCATAATATAATATACTATATGATATTATATGATATTATATATAATGTGATATATAACATGATATAATATAGGGTAGTATAATGTAATGTAATATAATGTAATATAATATACTGTATACTATAGTGTATATAATAGTATAATATATATATTATATACTATAGTGTATATAATATATAATAGTATACTATATATTATTTATACTATATATAATATAATATATGAATAGTACACTATTCTTTAGTATAGTTTACTGTAGCATTCTATAATATAATGTAACATAACAGTTTTTATTATTATCTTTTTAGCATTCTGTAAGTATCCTTTCTGTAGATAGTATATAGTATGAATAGTATACTATATATATATTATATATATATGAATATAATGTTATTATATTATAATATTTTATATATGAATATTATGTATTATATTATATACATATACTATATGAATATTATGATTAGTTTGCTATATATACTATATATATCATATAATATATGAATATACTGTTCTTTAGTATAATCTAGTATAGCATCATATGATATGATATACAGTATGATATTAGATGATATTATATATAATGTGATATATAACGTGATATAATATAGGGTAGTATAATGTAATGTAATAGTATATAATGTAGTATAATATAATATAATATAATATAATATAATATAATATAATATAATATAATATAATATAATATAATACAATACATATACTGTATACTCTAGTATATATAATGGTATAATATATATTATATACTATAGTATTTATATAATATATAATATATAATAGTATACTATATACAGCAGACTATTATGGAATATATTATATATATATATATATATGACTATTATGTTATTATAATATATGATATATATGAATATTATGTATTATATTATATACATATAATATATGAATATTATTATTAGTGTGCTATATATACTGTATATATACAATATAATACATGAATATACTGTTCTTTAGTATAATCTAGTATAGCATAATATGATATGATATGATATGATATAATATAATATAATATAATATAATATAATATAATATAATATAATATAAATGTAATATAAATGTAATATAATATGATGTAATATAGTGTAATATATCATAATAATGAATCAGCCTTCTGAGAGCATGGCTCAGATTCCTCATTCCTCCCCTCATCGTGGCCCCCCACAATCCCAGCCCGTTTCCCCGGCAGTGCTGCAGCCGCAGCCGTTGCTCTCCCCCTGTGCTGTGCAGGAATCTCGGAGTTTGCCGGCTCTCCCGACAAGGTCAGCGATTACATCTCGCCCCTGCTGAGCTTCGCTGCCGCGCACGTGCCGCGCTCCAAGCACAGGGAGACTCCTCTGTACATCCTGTGCACGGCGGGCATGCGGGTCCTGCCCGAGAGGTGAGCGAGCCCTGCTTGGCTTTTGGGAATTCCAGCTGCGTCCCAGCCGCGCTGCCTGCACTCCAGAGGGGCTGGATAGAGGATATTTCCATGTTGTGGGTGTGGAACAGCTCCAGGGTGTTTTGGGATTTGGTTTGCAGGAGTGTGGGTCACAAATGGGGCAGAAGGGAGAGGATTTTCCATGGGACAGCAACAGGAAACTCATTGTGATGAAAATCAAACCAGGTACTGGGAGAAACGTGGAATTTGAAAATCTCCATTTCTTCTCCTAACTCTGCTTCCTGCGCTCCAGAGTGGCTGGATAAAGGATATTTCCGTGTTGAGAGTGTGGAACAACTCCAGGATTTTTAGGGGTTGGTTTGCAGGAGTTTGAATGTGGAATGGGGCAGGAGGGAAAAGATTTTCCATGGCACAGCAACAGGAAACTCATTGTGATGAAAATCAATCCAGGTACTAGGAGAAACATGGAATTTCTCCATTATCTCCTCTCCTAACTCTGCTTCCTTCACTCCAAAGGGGCTGCATAAAGGATATTTCCCTGTTGTGAGTGTGGAATAACTCCAGGGTGTTTTGGGATTGGTTTGCAGGAGTTTAAGTTTGGAATGAGGCAGGAGGGAAAAGATTTTCCATGGGAAAGATGCAGGAAACCTGTGGTGATGAAAATCAAGCCAGATACTGGGAGAAATGTGGAATTTCTCCATTGTCTCCTCTCCTAACTCTGCTTCCTGCACTCCAGAGTGGCTGGATAAAGGATATTTCCCTGTTGTGAGTGTGGAACAACTCCAGAGCTTTTTGGGATTTGGTTTGCTGGGAATTTTTAAGACTGGAATGGGGCAGGAGGGAGAGAATCCATGGGACAGGATGCGAATCAGCCCTGGGAAAGGTATTGGGAAAAGTCAGCTCTGTGTGGGAATTCCTCCATGGTTTCCTCTCCTAACTCTGCGCTCCATGAGTGGCTGGATAAAGGATATTTCCAGCATGGAACAGCTCCAGGTTTCTTTGGGATTGGTTTGCAGGAGTTTAAGTGTGGAATGGGGCAGGAGAGAAAATATTTTCCGTGGGACAGCAACAGGAAACTCATTGTGATGAAAATCAAGCCAGGTACAGGGAGAAGCATGGAATTTCTCCATGATTTAATCTCCTGACTTTGCTTCCTTCACTCCAGAGTGGCTGGATAAAGGATATTTCCATGTTGTGGGTGTGGAACAGCTCCAGGGTGTTTTGGGATTGGTTTGCAGGAGTTTAAATGTGGAATGGGGCAGGAGGGAGAGGATTTTCCACGGGACAGGAACAGGAAAAGGTGGTGATCTAAGTCAAACAAGGTGCTGGCACAAACATGGAATTTCTCCATGATTTCCTCTCCAAACTGTGCTTCCTGCACTTCAAAGTGGCTGGATAAGGGAAATTTCCAGGTGGAAGAGCTGCAGGTTTCTTTGGGATTGGTTTGCAGGAGTTTGAGTCACAAATGGGGCAGGAGGGAGAGGATTTTCCATGGGACAGCAACAGGAAACTCATTGTGATGAAAATCAAGCCAGGTGCTGGGAAAAACGTGGAATTTCTCCATTATCTCCTCTCCTAACTCTGCTTCCTGCACTCCAGAGGGTCTGGATGAAGGATATTTCCAGCTTGCACAGCTCCAGGTATTTTGGGATTGCTTTAATGCGATTTTTGGTGGAATTTTGCAGCCAGCAGAAAGCCATCCTGGAGGATCTGCTGACCGACATCCCCGTGCACTTTGATTTCCTCTTCTCTGACTCCCACGCTGAGGTGATTTCTGGCAAGCAGGAAGGTGGGTGAGCCTTGGGAGAGGGTCTGGGGAATATTTGGGATTTCCAAGAGATGATTTGGGGTATTTTGAAATTATTTTTTTCAAATCCTGCTTTGCTTGAGAGCCTTTATTCCTCAGGAAAAGAATATTTCTTTGTTCTTCTGGAATATTCCTTTGTTCCTCTGGCCTCATGATGGGCCAGATATTTGCTGAAAATTACTGGAATTCAACGTGGAAAATATTTAGGATTTCCTCTAATAGAACTGAATCTGGAAAATATTTAGGAATTCCTCTAATGCAGTTGAATCTGGAAAATATTTGGGATTTCCAAGGGAAGACTTGGGGTGTTTTTGTTGCATTTTCAAATCCTGATGGGCCAAATCTTTGCTGATTCTCCCTGAAAATTTACAATTTACTGGAATTCAATGTGGAAAATATTTAGGATTTCCTCTAATGGAGTTGAATNCCGGGTGTTCGTGTACTGCTGGCCCCGGCACAACGGCAACCCCAAGGACCTGCTGGACATCCAGCAGATGAGGGACAGCTCCAGGAAACCCGTGGTGATGAAAATCAAACCAGGTACTGGCAAAAACGTGGAATTTCTCCATGATTTTCTCTCCTAACTCTGATTCCTGCGCTCCAAAGGGACAGGATAAGGGAAATTTCCGGCATGGAACAACTCCAGGTTGCTTTGGAGTTGGTTTGCAGGAGTTTAAGTCTGGAGTGGGGCAGGAGGGAGAGGATTTTCCATTGGACAGGAACAGGAAAAGGTGGTATTGATATATAGTATGAATAGTATACTATATATATTATATATATATATTATATATATAGCATATATAGAATGCTATATATATAGTATATAGTATATATATACTGTATACTACAGTATATATAAAATAGTATAATATATATATTATATACTATAGTATATATATAATATATAATAGTATACTATTATGTATTTATCGTATAATAATAAATATATATATATTATATGTATAACTATATATTAAATGTACTGATATAATATATAACTATACTATTTATACTATATATAATATAATATATTAATAGTATACTATTCTTTAGTATAGTTTACTGTAGCATTCTATAATATAACGTAACATAACAGTTTTTATTATTATCTTTTTAGCATTCTGTAAGTATCCTTTCTGTAGATAGTATATAGTATGAATTGTGTACTATATATATATTATATTGTAGGTAGTATATAGTATGAATTGTATACTATATATATATTATATATATATAATATTCTATAATAGTATGGTGTATATACTATATACAGCAGACTATTATGGAATATATTATATATATATGACTATTATGTTAGTATATTATAATATATTATATATATGAATATTATGTATTATATTATATACATATAATATATGAATATTATTATTAGTATGCTGTGTATACTTTATATATATCATATAATATATGAATATACTGTTCTTTAGTATAATCTAGTATAGCATAATATGATATGATGTACAATATGATATTATATGATATTATATATAATGTGATATATAACGTGATATAGGGTAGTGTAATGTAATATAATATAATAAAATATAATAAAATATAATATAATATAGTATATATACTGTATACTATAGTATATATAATAGTATAATATATATGATATACTATATTATATATAATATATAACGTAACCCAGCAATTTTTATTATTATCTTTTTAGCATTCTGTAAGTGTCCTTTCTGTAGATAGTATATAGTATGAATAGTATACTATATATATAATATATAATGTATATACATAATATATTCTGTAGTAGCATGCTGTATATACTATATACAGCATACTATTATGGAATGTATTATATATATGAATATTATGTTATTATATTATAATATATATATGAATATTATGTATTATATTATATACATATAATATATGAATATTATTATTAGTATGCTATATATACTATATATATATCATATAATAGATTACTATACTGTTCTTTAGAATAGTTTAGTACAGCATAATACGATATGATATACAATATGATATTATATATAATGTGATATATAACGTGATATTATATAGGGTAGTGTAATGTAATATAATATAATATAGTATAATATAATATAATATAATATAATATAATATAATATAATATAATATAATATAATATAATATAATATAATATAATATAAATATACTGTATACTATGGTATATATATAATAGTGTAATATATATACTATAGTATATATATAATATAGTGTCCTATATACTATTTATACTATATATAATATAATATATGAATAGTACACTATTCTTTAGTATAGTTTACTGTAGCATTCTGTAATATAATGTGAAATAACAGTTTTTATTATTATCTTTTTAGCATTCTGTAAGTGTCCTTTCTGTAGATAGTATATAGTTAATGTAATATAATATAGTATAATGTCACGTGATATGATACAATATAAATGTAATATAATATGATGTAATATAGTGTAATATATCATAATAATGAATTAGTTTTCTGAGAGCATGGCTCAGATTTGTCGTTCCTCCCTTCCTCGTGGCTCCCCACAATCCCAGCCCGTTTCCCCGGCAGTGCTGCAGCCGCAGCCGTTGCTCTCCCCCTGTGCTGTGCAGGAATCTCGGAGTTTGCCGGCTCTCCCGACAAGGTCAGCGATTACATCTCGCCCCTGCTGAGCTTCGCTGCCGCGCACGTGCCGCGCTCCAAGCACAGGGAGACTCCTCTGTACATCCTGTGCACGGCGGGCATGCGGGTCCTGCCCGAGAGGTGAGCGAGCCCTGCTTGGCTTTTGGGAATTCCAGCTGCGTCCCAGCTGTGCTTCCTGCGCTCCAGGGTGGCTGGAGAGAGGATATTTCCATGTTGTGGGTGTGGAACAGCTCCAGG